CAATTTATGTCAAACCGCCTAAACATGACATCTTCAATTCAGTTCAAACCTATTGTTGTGTTTTATTTGCAGATTCTTGGTGTATTTTGGGCAGCGTACAGTGCTGGTTCACTCCTCATTCAAGAAGACCTTTCAGCATAAAAAGCCCTTCTTATTTACCCAGTCTTTTTACTCTATGTATATTTTTTTTCATTGTACTCTGGTGTTTAACAAAGGATTATTTTCTATTTATGTTTTGTTTGAAACAACCCACTTCAGCTAAAATTTAGACCAAGGTTTTGTAATGTGAAGAAACTTCAAATGATCACTGTAGCCCAGACTTTCTTCATGTTTCTTGTTTGTAACATGAACCATGTTGTGATGTATAGTGATTTTTAAACTTGGGTTCTTGGTTATATGCTGCAATTGTGAAAAAAGAAGCACACTATTTTCTTCATTAGAAGGCAATCCACATTATGTAAATGCTCATTATCAAAGTACTTCAGTTTTGTGAAAATCAATTCCTTTTTTGCCTTTAAACAAATACAATTGTGGAAGAAAGAAGAGAAAAACTGTTCTTGTGAGCATGGATAAACCAAATTACTTTGGACAAAGAGTAAAGCTACATTTATTATATTATACATGTGTAAAGCTATTTTGGCTATTCATGAAGCCTTTTAGTAAGTGATGTGTTATCCACTACAGTCTAGAGGGGGCGCTACCATCTTTATAACTGCAATTACAGAGGATTTTACCCATGGCCAACCTCAATAAGATTACAGGTATCTAAAAAAACATTTTCTAGTTTCAAAAATGTTAAAATGTATGATTTTCAGGTTTCAATGTACTAATAACATTATTATATTTAAATTTGATTGACCATTTAGTTAATAATAGACTTTATATTGTATTCTTTATCTTGATTGTGCTTCAAACATGCTATTTTCTGTATTTGCATACATCATTTGTTACAGTGTATCTGTTACAGTAAAACCAATGATGTATACGAATTGTTGCTGCGTATTATGACTCGTTAAAATACATTTCACTTACGTTTATTACACTCGAATAAAGTCTACGCTTGAAAAGAATGTTATTTACGAAGTTTGAAATATTCAAGCTTTCCGGATTCGAGCCTCTTGGTTGTTATCAGCAATGTTTAATCTTTGTCTGTATCGCATTCCGGTAAACAAGAAATGGGCGAACTAAAATGTCTCCTGCGTTTCACATGCGACATGATTATTAAAACACTGAGTTAAGCGGTCATGTACATGTACGTTCTATAAATCTAACCTTGTACACATAATCTTGTACTGACATGTTTTTTGTCCAAAAAAGACATTCCCCTTCAGTTAATCCCCAGTTCGCGTTCATGGTATTTGTGAGAGTTGAAAGATTTTTTGAACACATGACAAGTAACTATATTGAGCTGGATGGCCCGAATTTAAATATCAGTGCGTAAACTCTTGAGGTCATTGCCCAATGCCGCACGTAATTCAAACGCGTGGTTATCAGAGTTCAGTCAAAATGTACGTGAATGATGCAATCAAAGTGCGCTGTCCAGAGTTTATTATATTATAGTAAAATTTAACTTGACACATGGTATGGTTTATATTACATGTTCACTTCATTTCGAATAAAAAAATCACCATTGGAACATCGATGAATCACAAGTATTTAAAATATTTTTTCGACTTTCCGTAGATACCCGACTACTATCATTTTTTACCTTGCCCGTACCATCAAAGATGGAAGGGAAAGGTATATTAAGGGAAAGATTTTGTCCGGCGTTGTCGTTGTTGGTGTTGTCGTCGTTAATAATTGTTATTGTGTGCATAATAACTTTACTAATTCTATTCCAAACTTCATCAAACTTGGTCACCTTATTCATCAGTATAATGTCTTCCCTGAGTTTGAACAACAGATGTCCTGTATGAAAATATCATGCAAAAATTGAGAAAATCTGATAAAATATTTTGACTGTTTCTACTTGACTGATCACTGGTGATACACATCAAAGGTCACT